AATACATAGTTCCTGTAGTAGGGACTGGTCTGACATGATACATACCTAGTTACTGTAGTAGGGACTGGTCTGACATCATACGTACTTAGTTCCTGTAGTAGGGACTGGTCTGACATGATACATACCTAGTTACTGTAGTAGGGACTGGTCTGACATCATACGTACTTAGTTCCTGTAGTAGGGACTGGTCTGACATCATACATACCTAGTTACTGTAGTAGGGACTGGTCTGACATCATACATACCGGTACTTTGTTCCTGTAGTAGGGACTGGTTTGACATCATACATACCTAGTTACCGTAGTAGGGACTGGTCTGACATCATAAATACATAGTTCCTGTAGTAGGGACTGGTCTGACATGATACATACCTAGTTCCTGTAGTAGGGACTGGTCTGACATGATACATACCTAGTTACTGTAGTAGGGACTGGTCTGACATCATACATACCGGTACTTTGTTCCTGTAGTAGGGACTGGTTTGACATCATACATACCTAGTTACCGTAGTAGGGACTGGTCTGACATCATACATACCTAATTACCGTAGTAGGGACTGGTCTGACATCATACATACCTAATTACCGTAGTAGGGACTGGTCTGACATCATACATACCTAGTTACCGTAGTAGGGACTGGTCTGACATCATACATACCTAGTTACCGTAGTAGGGACTGGTCTGACATCATACATACCTAGTTACCGTAGTAGGGACTGGTCTGACATCATACATACTTAGGTCCTGTAGTAGGGACAGGGAATGGATTATGCACTATAAGTAATCAAACAGCTCACCGGCTCTTATTTTCTGTTTCATACAACAGTTAATATACCTAAGCTCAAGATTTGCTAGTTTGGTATTCACATCTTAGTCGTTTAACACTTTGTTACACTTAATAATTTGTTGTTTGGTGTTTTAGGTGGTTTTAATTTTACTTACTGTTTATCTACTTTTTGTAGATCCCTTTGTATTCCCTGACCACAAAATAGGCTTAAACTAAAAGGTAACCAGACTTTCATTCAGTTTTATTATAAAAATGATTCAACAACCATCCAGGAGTGGTTGTCATTCTGTCAGCTCACACCACAACAATCAGTAGTTGGAGCCCTGATGTATTTAAGCAGCATGGAGGTCCATCCTTTTAAGCACATTCCAAGTCAAATCAAACAACAACCCCTCGTTATTCTATATTGTTTAATTCTGTGATTGTGGGATTTGTGATTGACCTTTTGAATCTTGATTAGTGAGCTTTTGTAATTTCTATGGAAAGAATTCCATGAATGAATTGTAAATGGTTGGAAGCTGAATTTTCCAATATAGGCCTGTTTTGTGTTTTCCATGGCCCTGATGTTTGAATATTTACATAGGCACACCTTGAAAATTAATACATAAGAAATAGTCAAATCTAGGAAGAACAGCATAATTAGGGACTGTGCTGCTTGAGTCTCACAGCTGATTGGCTTCTCCTTTGTATCCATACAAACCTGCTGGAAAAAACTTAGGAGTACCCACAGAGTGAGAGGGATAGCTGCAGAGAGGAACTGCTTTTATTCCCCTCAAAACAAGTAGTGGAATAGTTTAATGTTGTGACTTTGCAAGATGTTCTGGAGCTCTTAAAAATATTTACAGTAGAAATAGTACATATATTTATTAGTTCCGTTACATAACTTACATTGCATAAACGTTTACATTGTTTTGTTGAGTATTATGAAAAAAACAAATAAAACCAGTAATAAAAAATGTATATTGATGCAGTCCAACATCATCTGTTAGTTTGTTTTGTGAATATATCTTTAAATGTGTATAGGCTATGAAATCATAATCAGTTATATCAATGTAAAACAAATTTAGTGACACTATATAATAGTGCTCCGGACCTGGAAGTGGCTCTTTTGACCTCTCACAACAGCCGTGACACTAAATAACAATAATAATAATAATGATAATAGAAATAACTTAAGTTATGGTAGTATTTGTTTTGATGGAATGAATGCTTTGGATTTCCATAACAGAATGACTGTTAAAATGCCAGTAATAAACAAAAACAAAAAAATGTGTCTATTTCCTTCCTTGGGCTGTAAGTAATGTGTTATTTTTAAGCAGATACGTAGTACATACGTGGCTGTCAGTCAGAGGTGGCAGTCAGCAGTACCGACACCCCCCCCCCCCCTCCCCCAGGGTACCATCCTTTCTCCTTTCCTCTTAATCATTTACACCTCAGACTTCACCTGCAACACAGACAGCTGCCATCTCCAGAAGTTCACCGATGACTCAGCCATAGCAGGCTGTGTTTCTGAGGGGAACGAGCTGGAGTATCGATTGATCATCATAAACTTTGTGGACTGGTGTGAGAAAAACCACCTGTGTCTTAACACTAAGACCAAAGAGATGGCGATTGACTTCAGGAAAAGACCCCCACCTCACTCCCCTGTGAACCCTCAGGGACAAACATAGAAACTGTGTGGAGAGTTTCAAATACCTGGGTGTTCATGTCAATAATAAATTGGACTGGACTCATAAAACCGATGCCCTGTATGGAAAGGGCCAGAACCGCCTCCACCTCCTGAGGAGGCTGAGGTCCTTTGGAGTGAGCAGGCCCCTGCTTAAAACTTTCTATGACTCCATGGTGGCATCAGCCCTTGTCTACGAAGTTGTCTGCTGGGCCCCTGGCAGCGCAGAGCGGGTCAGAAAGAGACTCAACAAACTAGTAAGAAAGGCCTTCTGTCCTAGGCTGCACTCTAGACTCAGTGGAGGAAGAGGTTGAGGGGAGGGTGCTGTCCAAGCTTACATCCATCATGGACAACACCTTCCACCCTCTGCACCAGTCTGTAGATGAACTGAGCAGCTCCTTTAGTGAAAGACTTTTACGCCCTGTTTGTACAAAGGAGTGCAACCGCAGGTCATTCATCCCTGCTGCAACTAGACTCTACAATGCAGCACTACAATGGCAATAACTTGTGCAATGTAAAATGTGCACTTACTATTTAATACCCTGTGCAATAACCTGTTTTATCTATATTTAAAACCCAGTGCAATAACTATATATATATATATATATATATATATATATATATATATATATATATATATATATATATATATATATATATATATATATATATATATATATATATATATATATATATATATATATATATATATATATGTATATATATATATGTATATGTATATATATATATACTATTAAAAAGCTGTCATATGTGGACACACTGTATATACTGTATATATCCATGCAAGTTTTTCTTTCTTTTAGCAAATTCTTCTTCTCTGACTATTTGAGCTAATGTAACGAGTACATATCTCCACTGTGAGATCAATTAAGTCAAACAATCAATTGATCAATTTTTTTTTTTACAAATGTGAATGTCCCATATCAGAATATTTAAGTTTTCCTATTCCTTAAAAATATTTTATAACATTTGTGGCTCTAAATAGTTTTTATTTAGCCTGACTAAGGGTTAACATCGGTACGGATTGTAAATATCTTTTTAAATGTTGTCGACTTGTTCGCTAGTTCATACTCCAACCCAGTAGGGGGCAATAAAACATTAAATTAAAATAGAAGCAGACAGGAGCGAAAACCCAATCAACTATTAAGAGCAAATTTCATTCAGAATGGCAAAAATTGTGGGATACGGAAGAGGATTATGCCCACTGGAAAAAACTTTAAAAGTTAACTGACTTTTACATTTTATTTCAGTTTAAAATGGGGAAAAAGTCAAAATTCTGACTTTAATCTCAGACCAGATCTCAGTGCCCGACGTAGTGGGCCCTGTGCTCACTGCCTGGTTCCATGGAGCTCGATTGGCATTTGCCACAGAACACCTGAATTGGCAAGTCCACCACTGGCGCCCTGTGCTTTTCACAGATGAGAGCAGGTTCACCCTGAGCACATGTGACAGACGTGAAAGGGTCTGGAGAAGCCATGGAGATTGTTATGCTGCCTGTAACATCGTTCAGCATGACTGGTTTGGTGGTGGGTCAGTGATGGTCTGGGGAGGCATTTCCATGGAGGGACGCACAGGCCTATACAGGCTAGACAACAGCACCCTGACTGCCATTAGGTATCGGGATGAAATCCTTTCACCCATGCACCCATTGTCAGACCCTATGCTGGTGCAGTGGGTCCTGGGTTCCACCTGGTGCACAACAATGCCCGGCCTCATGCGGTGAGAGTATGCAGGCAGTTCCTGCCATTGATTGGCCCCCACACACGCCTGACCTAAATCCAATAGAACACCTCTGGGACAATATGTTTGATCCATCCGACGCCGCCAGGTTGCACCTCAGACTGCTCAGACTGTCCAGGAGCTCAGTGATGCCCTGGTCCAGATCTGGGAGGAGATACCCCAGGACGCCATCGGTCGTCGCATTAGGAGCAGGCCCTGATGTTGTCAGGCATGCATACACGCACATGGGGGCCATACAAATTACTGAATACCATTTTGAGTTGGTGCAATGAAATTTCAGCAAAATGGACTTGCCTGCTGCATAATTTTTTCACAGTAATTTTTGGGGCGTCTTTGAATTTAGCCCTCTGTAGCTTGATCATTTTCATTTCCATCAAATTATGTGGCATCCTTTTGTTCCTAACACATCACCCAGTCCATATGGGTATAAATAAACAGCATTATTTTTCCCCCCGTTGAGATCTGATGTGTTTTCAAAGTGTTCCTTTAATTTTTTTGAGCAGTGTATATTTTATTAGTAGGTAGTCCATCACGAACCACACTCCATGCCAGTAAGTGGCGGTAATGCTAGTAAATGTTTGTTGCCAACCGCCAATAAATCGAAGAAGAAGAAAAAAAAGCAGAAGACACCAAAGAAAGACACAAAAGGAAAGAAGAAGTGAAATATAAGTGAAATATGATATAATTTATTTACTTAATTATTATAATTTTATTTCATTCATTTATTTATTTTTTTTGTGGGAGAATTCATATATAGCATCCCGAACCATACTCCATTCCAGTAGATGGCGGTAATACGCGTTAATTAGTTGCTTGCCAACCACCATTAAAAAAAGTAGAAGAAGAAGCGAAAACCTAAGGAAACAAGGCAGAAAGATACGCAGACCAACAAAAAACACCTTTGGACATAGCAAAAGAAAGTAGAAGAACCGGGAAAATTGTGAGTAATCGTTTGATATTTCACTACCGACTTTTTTTCTTCGTTTTGCAGTCTCAAAATCTGGAACAAGCAAGATTGTTACTGTCTTTGATGTGTAAAATCATCGTCCCCGGAGTTAAAAAAGAGAATTAAAACCAAACTGTTTTCACATTGACATGCCTTGTCGAGTAATCGGCCTGTTATAAAATCATAAATGTGAATGAACACTAAGTTGCTTTGTTGAGGATGTATTACACTGGGAGAGTTCTAGACCAGTAGCTGTGAAGTTTGATGTGCGCGCGCATGTTTGTGGCGTTTAGAACAACTAATGCCATAAAAGAATATTTCTGTTATGTTGAAAATCATCTAAAACTATCCTCAGTAACCCTAATGTGAAAAGCTTCAGTTTTCAGTTTATAACTGATATTGACCTGTATTTACCCATTTTATTTTCTCAGCTTTTTTCTTACTGCTTCAAATGTCATGTTGTATGTGCTGCTTTATGGTATTTGGCTGTCTGTCTAGGTTCCCTGATGAAGGATGTTATCTGCTGGGTTGGGTCCAACTGAAAGCAGCAATATGGACCCAAAGATTTCCCTTTCAGAGGTGAGGAAAACTGTTATTTTAATTTTTTTTTTATTTCAGAATCTAATTAAATGTATAGTGGAGGATGTTCTTTTTCCAGGTGGATCCTCCTAATTGTCATTCATTCTGGTGATATGTTTACATAAGGTTGCCTACGTGCTCGTCCCTATTTTCACTTATTGGTGAAGAGGCTGACATGGTGGAAAAATTGCAAAACTTCTTTTGGAAAGAAAGCTTGTATGAGCAATGCAAACAGCAACTCTTAAACAGAGCGTGCACGTGGAGAAATGGGCTCTTGTATGAGGTGCCCCCAGGGACATAAATCAGAATTAACTTGCATATACACATATTAAATTACACTCTTCCATATAATATACTGAAAACCTCACACAGACACTAGTAAAAAGCTCTCACATAAGCTAGTGAAAATATTTACCTCTTATATAATCTACTCAAAAGCTCTCATACAAAGTAGTGAGAACTGTTCATATAAACTGGTGAAAAGCTTCATACACACTACTAGAAAGCTTTCATATACACTATTAAAAAGCTCTCATATACACTACTAGAACGCTCTCATATACACTATTAGAACGCTTTCATATACACTACTAGAAAGCTCTCATATACACTATTAGAAAGCTCTCATATACACTATTAGAAAGCTCTCATATACACTATTAGAAAGCTCTCATATACACTACTAGAACGCTCTCATATACACTATTAGAACGCTCTCATATACACTATTAGAACGCTCTCATATACACTATTAGAAAGCTCTCATATACACTATTAGAACGCTTTCATATACACTACTAGAAAGCTCTCATATACACTATTAGAACGCTCTCATATACACTACTAGAAAGCTCTCATATACACTATTAGAACGCTTTCATATACACTACTAGAAAGCTCTCATATACACTATTAGAAAGCTCTCATATACACTATTAGAAAGCTCTCATATACACTACTAGAAAGCTCTCATATACACTATTAGAACGCACTCATACACTATTAGAAAGCTCTCATATACACTATTAGAACGCTCTCATATACACTATTAGAAAGCTCTCATATACACTACTAGAACGCACTCATACATTATTAGAAAGCTCTCATATACACTGCTAGAACGCTCTCATATACACTACTAGAACGCTCTCATACACGCTACTATGGCAAGCCGAAAGGACCAATAATCGTCCGTACAATAACGCGTACAGAACGCGCGGTGCCGTAAAAAACGCGCGCTCGCGTAAAATACGTGCGGTGGCGTTAATAACGTTTGGTGGCGTTTTTTGCATATTATATCATCAGTAGGTTGTCTTTTAGGTGCTCAGCCACTAAATTTAAAGGCGTTTTACCCAATAAGAACACTGCAGCACCAGACACAACCAGGAGATCCCAGATCTTTGGGGAAAGGCAGAAAGAAGATGCATCTTCCTTTCTGATCCTGTCTAAATCCTGTTTATTTCAATAATATAGTTTGATATTACACAAAACTCACTCTGCTTGTTCTCCCCACTTATGCCCTTGGTGCAGAAGATAAATGAAATCTTTAACAGAAATTTTATTATTAATTCTGAAAATATTATCATGTGAATATAAATACAGAGCATACAAAAATGCAGCTTTATTAAGTGACCTGGTTTATTTTATTTAGCTTTTAATTTCTTTTCAACATTTAGTTCTAGTACTTGGCTTGTGCTTTGGTAGTTTCATGTTTAAAATGACAAGAAATATGAAAAAGCTTATGGTCGTCAAGTTGTACTTGAATCATCAGTGGCCGGTCTAAACATATTAAATTTCCAAGAATGCAAAGTGAGCATGAAACTATACCATTTTCCAGGGAATAAACAGTATAATGTGACGCTATGCTTCATTTTTTTTTTTGTCTGTATGTACTGTTTTATTATCTTCGTGTCTTTTTTTAAATGCCTCAGTACTACTGTTTGTATTATAACCTAATTTTACAGACTGTAAGTTAGTCTAACAAAGCTTAGCTAGAATCCTGAATTAAATTGTCACACCAAATACTGTATGGCTTGCTGATATTCAAAAAATACAAATTCAAACTAATCTAAGTTTTACAAGTTGACAAGGAGTAAGCACTAGCTCAAATATTTGGTTCCCTAATCCTTTACACACCCCAGGTCATCAAGATCTCCCCTCCTGTGTTCCTCCAACCAGCTCTGCTGCTCCTCACCTATCGAGCTCTTCCTTGAGGCCATTTTTGTCCAGATTACACCTTAATTACACTTGTATGCTTAATTTACACACTTTATTTGGATGATGAAATTATAGTTTCAATGTTTCAATTTGCCCAAATAACTTTATTTTGTTTCCGGGGTTTCAATCAGAATTTCAGTTCTGCCTCCTTTATATCCATTTTAAACATCATAAACATAGCATTCATTAACTTGTTTATGAACTGTTTTATTGTAGTGGAGATCAAGGCTATGTACACAGACAGTAGTCATTTTAAACTTTAATTTAACCATTTTCATGCAACAAAGTTATGTGGCTATATTTAGTGTAGCTCTAAAACCGATCGGACCTCAACCATGCAAAGCAAGTTGCTGAGTGAACATAGATAAATCTTAACTGGATTAATTTTTTATAACGTATGTTTTGCTGTATTATGTTAACCATCTACTGTATTTTTGTAATATGGAGACAAATTCTCATTAGGCATCTAAAAATGACTTATACAATGAAAGAAAATGCAGGATCTTTATTAAAAATGAGTGGCAAAAACAAGAATAATCTAATACGCATACATTTGCCTTGCCTCAGAAGTAAAAAACTAAAATCAAGAAGCTGTCATGGCATCTTACTTTAATGACATTTTTTAGGGCATGGCTTAGGTTACCAACAACAGACAATATACAATAGATGCAGTTAATAACATTGTAAACAACAAATACTAATATTTTTCTCTATAGAGTTTAAATCATGCAATAAGTACTTATTGGAATCTGCTAGTACTCGCACATCCCTTTTCATATCAAAGACAAAAATATACATTTCCAGAAAATCTTACCTACTTTTATTTACCTTTTTGCAGTGCTGTGCAATGTTCTTAAACCTTCAAATACAGATAAATGCAATATGAACTGTAAAATGCCAATAAAAACATGAAATGTGGACCGTGATGTGTAAAATTTCTCCATATAACCAGAAAGATCACTGTTCCGCTTAGTCCTTGTACATTCACTCAAACCTGTAAATAAAACAATGGTACATTTGCGGAAATCAGTATATTTTGTGACAAAACTTACAGTATTGCTTCAGACTGTAAGAACAACATCAATCCTGTGATGATATGCAACCCAAAATCACCTGTTTCACCTCCCAGTGGATCAAATCACAAAAAAGTGGTAGACAGACGTTTAAAAATGGTCTTCAAACATTTAATCTCATGAATTTGGGCTTTCACTGCCATCTACTGTCATATGAGAGTAAGTACAACTTGACGACCATAAGCTTTTTCATATTTCTGGTCATTTTAAACATGAAACTACCAAAGCACCAGCCAAGTACTAGAACTAAATGTTGAAAAGAAATTAAAAGCTAAAAAAAATAAACCAGGTCACTTAATAAAGCTGCATTTTTTGTATGCTCTGTATTTATATTCACATGATAATATTTTCAGAATTAATAATAAAATTTCTGTTTCATTTATCTTCTGCACCAAGGGCATAAGTGGGGAGAACAAGCAGAGAGAGTTTTGTGTAATATCAAACTATATTATTGAAATAAACAGGATTTAGACAGGATCAGAAAGGAAGATGCATCTTCTTTCTGCCTTTCCCCAAAGATCAGGGATCTCCTGGTTGTGTCTGGTGCTGCAGTGTTCTTATTGGGTAAAACGCCTTTAAATTTAGTGGCTGAGCACCTAAAAGACAACCTACTGATGATATAATATGCAAAAAACGCCACCAAACGTTATTAACGCCACCGCACGTATTTTACGCGAGCGCGCGTTTTTTACGGCACCGCGCGTTCTGGCTGGAAACGCGCGGTGACGTAAAAAACGCGCGCTCGCGTAAAATACGGGTTGGAACCGCGCGTTATTGTACGGACGATTATTGGTCCTTTCGGCTTGCCATACGCTACTAGAACGCTCTCATACATGCTACTAGAAAGCTCTCATACATGCTACTAGAAAGCTTTCATACATACTACTGAAAAGCTATTAGCGGATTTCAGTTGAAACGGAAGGTGTTTCAGTGAAACAGGAAGGACCGTCATTACACCGGAAGTTGTTTTAAACGGAGGTCATTCTGGCTAGCTCCGTACATTTTGTGCTATCTCCGGCCGAAATTGTATCAAATAAAATTATTGATTCATGCTCAGCTATCCGCTAAACAACTCACAGAAGAATGGGCATTACTCGACTTTATTTTTTATGTTTTTGCTTCAACAGAGATCCTTTTCCGGTGTTGTGCGAAATTCTGTTCCCATATGAAAATCTGTTCCACCTGTGTCGGGAGCGCGCCGCGCATTGCAGCCACATAAGCGGATCTGATCATTTCCCAGGCCTTTCGGATCATTTCTTGGTTAAAAAAAAAGTCGTAAAATTATACAAGGTTGAGACATTTAGTTTAATCAGCCGCTGTTGTTTACAAAATTGTAAAATAAAAAAAATAAATGCGGTTTTCTTATGCTGTTTTGTGTTGTTATTTTAAACGCTTTCTAGTAGTGTGTATGAGAGCTTTCTAGTAGTGTATATGAGAGCTTTCTAGTTAGGGGTGTGCAAAATAATCGTCATGATGATGCATTGTGATTCTAATTTTCGTGATCTACTGCATCGATTCTTGACGGCAAGTATCGATTATTAATTTAAAAAAATTAATAAACAAAATTGCATGAATGGTTGGCGAACATCAGCCAAAAACAAGTGGAATACAACTTCCAGTCCAGTAGATGCTGCTGCGGATGTGTTGATGCACGCTGCATTGTGTCACAAGCATTTCCGGCTGCGGGATACTGCGGCGAGTCATTCAAAAACAAAACATGGAGGAGAAAATATTGCAATGCATTGCACTAATTCAAGTATCGTGATGCATCGTGATAGAATCGCATCGTGGCCTGTGAATCGTGATTCGAATTGAATCGTGACTTCTTTGGCAATACCCACCCCTATTTCTAGTAGTGTATATGAAAGCGTTCTAATAGTGTATATGAGAGCGTTCTAGTAGTGTATATGAGAGCTTTCTAGTAGTGTATATGAGAGCTTTCTAATAGTGTATATGAGAGCATTCTAGTAGTGTATATGAGAGCTTTCTAATAGTGTATATGAGAGCGTTCTAGTAGTGTATATGAGAGCTTTCTAGTAGTGTATATGAGAGCTTTCTAATAGTGTATATGAGAGCATTCTAGTAGTGTATATGAGAGCTTTCTAATAGTGTATATGAGAGCGTTCTAGTAGTGTATATGAGAGCGTTCTAGTAGTGTATATGAGAGCTTTTTAATAGTGTATATGAAAGCTTTCTAGTAGTGTGTATGAAAGGTAAAGCTTTTCACCAGTTTATATGAACAGTTCTCACTACTTTGTATGAGAGCTTTTGAGTAGATTATATAAGAGGTAAATGTTTTCACTAGTTTACGTGAGAGCTTTTTACTAGTGTTTGTGTGAGGTTTTCAGTATATTATATGGAAGAGTGTAATTTAATATGTGTATATGCAAGTTAATTCTGATTTATGTCCCTGGGGGCACCTCATACTCTTGCACGCGTTTAATAGACGTTCCCTCTCAGGAGCAGGTACAGGGTTCTGGATGTCCTTTTTTTTAAGTGGAGAGGGCGGGTCATTTCAGAAATTTGTGAAAATCCTCCATTATACCTTTAATTAAAAAAGAATTAAGCCAACCTGTGAAAACGATGCATGCATTCCATTTAACAGCTGACAAGATATTTTGGAACCATTAATTTTCATTTTTTGGTGGCCTTGTGTGTTTTTACAGGTACAAACTCTGATTGAACAGGAGGTTCAAAAAGCATTGGCCGACAAAGACAGAGAGGTTGAGAGTGTTATACAACACCTTCAAGACACATATGAAGAAACCAGCTTTGAAATGTCGATTCAGAGACTAGAGGTGGGGAGGAAAATATATATTTTTTGTCTCTATTTTAAGTTTAAGATCTGTTTCTTGAATATTCTGTGGTTTTCTTTTTTTTATTACCTAAAATGCAATCCATCAGTCAGCTTGTATGCATCTATTTCTTTACAAGAAAACTAATATTTAATTGTGTTTAACTTCTAACTGTGACTGATTTATCTTGTTCCACTGAACGTTACCCTCATTGTTTTTGTGTTTTAAATATTTAATCAATTATTAAGTCCTTTGAAGTCTTGATACCACTTGATCTTTTCCATGTTTTATCAGGTTATATCAACCTTTTTCACTGGATTTATGTTGTAATAAGGGCATCCAGATATCTGCCTTATTGTCAACTTAATTAATTTTGGACATAGTTTGTGCTGAAGGCCTTCATCATAACTTTAGATTGTTGAGATAAAAAATTTTTTGCTTTAAATGACTGACTTTCCTAACTAGCAGCAAAAAGCTCTATGAGCCATTTTAAATCTTGCATTTGATTTAGATTTTGGGTGAAACTATTCATCCAGTGCAACAAGAGAGCTGCTTACTTCCTTCCACAGAGTTCTCTTCATTCTGGTTAGAACAGCTAAAACCATTACTTTCCTTTCCTTTGAACCTTCTGTTAAACTTTGAAAAGCTTGGCTTTGCCCCAATTTATAGTGTACAGAAATTCCTTTATAAGTTTTTGTAAAATTCATATTTAAATCACACATAATTTTGTCCTTTTGCTTAAGATTTTGACAAAGCTATACTTTTTTTGCTGCAAAAAATGGTGTCCCACTTCCAATTATAGATGTCTCCAAAAATCGACTTTAGGGCAACAGCGTTTGAGGATAATATAAAATCTGTGTTTAGAATGTCTCTAGTGATGTGAAGATCCAGAGGTTTACAAAAATATATCATGACTATAGCAATAGAAATGAAATATGCTGATAGGCCAAAAATGACCTCCCCTCTCGCACGTGAAAGAGAAAATGGATTGAAATATGAATGAAAAGAGAACGTCTTAATGTTTATTTTATTTCTTATGCATGGACGCCCTAAAATTGCACAACACAACATTGGCATCTTTATAGCTGCATCCATGTAAGCATGTCACGTTCAATATTGTATTTTCACAGTACGCCTTCACAGGTTGGAAGACTGGTTTGTTCTTGCCCGAGATATACTTCCATGCTAAACTATCAAGGTGAAAGTCATCATTAGTAAAGACCCAGCTCCCGACTGAGAGCATAGATCAACGGCGATATATTTTAATTGTCCAATAAGAGTCTGGCCTTTATGTCGGACGTTAACGCCGATAACGGCCCACCACTAGTTTAGTTTGTAGGTATTGAAATATGTTTTGGTTCATTAAACCTTTCCCTTCTTTATGTGAAATGTTTCAGGTACTTCCATTTTAAGATTAGTTTTGGTAGGGTAATACCTCATGACTCGATTAAATATTTATTTAGTTTCAGACTAAAGTGTCAATATTGTGTTTCTGATTTTAGACTTGGAGACTTAGACAAATTTTATTGTCAGTGTGTATGCACAGATTGCAAAACAAAATTGTTTGAGATTACAGTTGAAATAAAAATAACATTAAAATATAAAGTGCAGCAGTGATGAGAATGTAACAGTAATTATGTATGCATATTAGGGGTGGAACGGTTCACAAAATCCACGGTTCAGTTCGATTCACGGTTTTCGGTTCGATTCGATACATGTTGATTGTTACACCGAAATCCCATAAAAATTTACGAAATTAATGAAAAAATCCCCCAAAAAATAATGGATTGTAATTATTTTAAATGATCCGCAGAAACCCTGGATCATTTCCGTATGTTTTGCTGCTTTGAATTTAATCATCTGGCGCATGCTCTCTACCATCTCCAAGGGACTCAGAGGGGAGCGGACGGAGGGAGCCACAGTGGGGGCTGTAGGCTTTGCTTTGAGCAGCCGGTCTGGAGCGCAGCGGGGGTTGCTGACGGAGTATGAGGGATTTCGGGGTTAGCATGACATGTTGCTGTTAGCATAAACAAAACGTGTTGCACAATGCTTGCACACTGTTGCACTTTTATCCACAACTTTCTTTCTGCTGTCATCGTAGGTCACTCTAAATGCAAAGCGCTCCCATACAGCAGACCTATAAAGTGCTGCTGGCGCATCTTCCAACTCCTGTTCTTTCCCACTCGCCAGTCCGACACAATTCTCCACAACAACTGATTTTTTTCCCCTGCTACACCCGGCTAAGCTGCTTCGCTTCTTCTTCTTCTTGTTTACTACTGGCGGTTGGCTTTGGTCGCAGTACCGCCACCTTCTGCTCTGGAGTGTAATTGCTTCCTCTATGAGAAAAAGGAGCAGCGCATGAACCGAACGAAACACACGCGAACCGAACCGAGACAGTCGAACCGAACGATTCTGACGGTCTTCATAAATCGTTTCATCCCTAATGCATATACATATGCATCCTGAATGTTATAACTAACATTTAGGAAAGCTCTAAGGGCTGGACTGTACTGAAAGATTTCAATTGGAAATATTAGTTAACTTATTTTAGAAGGAAAATTGCAGTTTCTGCTGTGAATGAATTAGGCCTCCTCCAAAAGTAAACCTCACAACAAGTAGCTAAGATTGCTTAAGGACAAAGGACATTCGTTCGAGGACCAGAATGTTCACATTTTGGAAAATGATGTTGTCACAACACCATCTGGTTAGCATGTTAAGCTTAATGCCTCAGCGGTTGGATCAAGATTTTAACATGAAAAAAGCAATGCTACACGCACAAGGCTTACAAGGCATCATGCATTCAAATCTCATTATTCACATCATTTTTGAGGATACACTTTCATTAAAAAATTTTTATTACAGGGCTCACATTTCATTTTTTCATTTATTGTTTATTTGAAAGGGGACAGTGTACATTAATCAACATTAAAACAATGTAAATATACCCGAGTTAGCTAAGGAGTGCTAATTTTCATCGGCACATACCTGTGTTGGTACATCTAATTTTGGGTTCGAAAATATTTGCCTTTGCTCCACAAATACCTTTGCAGATTCTAAAAAAAGCTTTTAAGACGCCCTTTTTTCTTCGACTTTTGCTTCCATATTTTGTTACTGAGTGACTTTCAGTGCATATAATTTTATATGTGAAAAATACTACACTTCACAAATGCCTCTGCAGTTAAACTATACATCAGTTCAATAATTAATTTTCAATGGAAGCTCTTTGTGTTTGACTTGAATTGTCTTTTGCTGCTGTTAATTAAAGAAAAAGACCACTTTTTTGTGATGACATGAAAAAAATAAAAATTTTAAGAGCCAAAACCTCTTGTTTCTGTTATAGATAACCCAGAGCAACTAGATAATTTCTTTTTCATAGCTGTATTCATCACAAGCCCCAGATTGAATCTGTATCGGTCATGAAAAACAGAAAATTCTCGGTTATCAGTATCGGTTGAGATTGTTAATATCATGCATCACTATTTCTTTCTTTCTTTCTTTTTTTATGCAATAAGTCCCAAAATACATTAACTTTTTTGTCTGTATCCTAATAAAATCTAGAAAGATTCAAGGGGAGATAATAAAGAGATGATATTTCATAAATTTCACTTTAAATTGCCTGTTGTTTACTGAATCATTTCTTTCTTCAGAATCGAATCAATGCAGTAGCCAGGAGAGCGGAGGTGGCCCTCTCCTACATAGCAAAAAATCAAAAACAGGTTTGTATAAATTATCTATAAATTATCTATAATTTAAGTTTATTGATTGGTGATTCTGTATAAAGGTATTTTAATCTAAATATTAAAATAGCAGTATTTTTCAAAGAGCGTATCTTATCTTCCACATCCTTGTAGAGTCCTCCATCTTCCACAGATAATACCAACATCCTCAGGTATGTGGGACTTCTTTAGTTCCTAATCCATATAATGAATACATTGAATGTTTTGATTTGAATTTATTTTGAAGTAAAGAGATGTGTTGTTAACCTTTTAGTGAAAGCCCACAGCATGACCATGTTAAAGCTACGCCAGAGAGTAAGAGCTCAATAAGTTAATTTAAGGAAAGTATTCATTTTAGAACGTGCTCGTTTTTACTTTCTGTTTTGTTTTAACCATTACAGATAGAAAGGGACCAACCTATAAAACAACAAGTGGAAGTATTATCAAAATGATGGTAAATATGTCATTCTGAACAATTAATTTGTGTTAAGTCTTGCACTAAATTAGTTTCAAAAGGATCGGTGCAACTTTTTTTTATTTTTTATTTTTTTTCAATCATTAGCTTAATTTTGCCTGTTTACTCATATAATCACATAGTGATGGGTGATTATATAACTGAGGTATATATTTTGATGTTAAGTATGAAAGTGTCATCGTAAATGGTATTCAAGTATTTTCTTTATGGCATGATATGCAAAATTTCACCAATTATTTTTTGAGTGTACAACTCTAGGTTTACTAAATGCAAAGGCATAGACATTGGGTTAACAAATTTAAATGTAAGCTTTCACACAGGTGTGAAAAGCTGTAGAAAATGACTACATACATTTGGGGAAAATAAAAAAAATTAACAGAGCAAAGGTGAAAAAACATAATATGAACATTCTCAAGACAGGTGGATATTGCACTAAACCCTTTTATTTGACCCCTGAAATATGAACTTTGAACATAAACACCATAAAAAAGATAGCACCTTTGCTCATGAGGTGATGGTCAGAGCTTCTGCATCAGCCACTCATTAGTGGTGGGGTGCTGAGTGCGGCAGGATGGCAGAAAGAAGATGAAGCTAAGGCCCCGTCCACACGAAGTCAAAACGAACACGAAACGCTGATATTTTCCAAAACGTTTGCTGTAAAGACGGAGACGTAAAATAAATGTGAGCGTCCACACGAATGCATGAAAACGCTGCAAAATGTATGCAAGGCCTGTAAGTGGCGCTGTGGTGCCAAAGCAAAAATAAGCGACGAAATATTGGGCATGCGCACTAATATTTATACATGGTTGCCCTGCGGGTCCAAATTTTGATTGTTAAGTCAAATTCAGGTGCTGAACTATGTCGTCGATATTGCTCTGTTCTTCTTGGAGATATTCCAGAAGAAGAAGATTCTTTTGTAAGCCCGACAGCAGGGTGAGTAGCATTAGCAGCAACGGCGCCATTGTTGTTGTGATACTGTGTCGGGCATGCGTGTTTAGAGGCGACGCTATGACGCATGCGTGTAAAAAAAAAAAAAAAAAGCGGTTAGAGCGTAAAGATGGAAACGCGAAAACGGCGTTTCGAAATCTTCCCACTCTGAAGGCTGAATAAAAAAAAGATCGTTTACAGACCCCCGAAACGCCGGCTTCGTGTGGATGAGAGGCTGGTTTGGTGAAAAATTTGTGCGTTTAGGCCAGGGTTCGGCTTCGTGTGGACGGGGCCTAAAAATATAAAGTCACAAACATGAAGAAAACTGAAATGACTGAAATGTCCACAAACGGAGGAGCTCTGTCGATTTTAGACAGAAAAGTACGTTATAAAAATAAAGATAATTTTACATAGGACACATTTCAATAAAGTATTCTTTTTTTTATAGAGATAATGCTACGTTCAGACTGCACACAGCAGAAGCAGCAAAAACCAATTGATGCTTTTAAAAGTTTAGTTCTGACGCATGGCTGAAGCATCTTTGCAGCTCCACCTGCGCGTTCCAAAAGTCGGTCTGATGCACGTTGGGTGGAGCTACCCTATACTTTTTTTTAACAATGACAGATGAAATCGAGAGAGTTGCTTGGCTAATTTTAATGAATGATGCTACGTTCAGACCGCAAGGGCTGGAAGCAGCAAAAAAACTTTTCTTGCTTCATTTTTGATGCTTGTCCACATTAAGGTAAGATGTGCATCAAGTGCAATTTTTGTCGCTGCTGAAGCTTGTCCATTAAAGTGTGTCCAGATGCTTCTGCTGCTCCTGTGTTCAGTGACATAGAGCTTTGCGCTATTTGCTGTTATAAGTTGGTAAAAAAAGTGGTTTTAATATGTTTGCGAGTAAGAAAGTCCACCTGAAAAATTCATCCATGCAGTCAGTTTAACAAAATTACAATCCTGCCTTTTAAATATTCTTTCCCTGTCTGAGGCGCTCAGACCCCCGTACACCGATGGTACGCTGTCACTGGGAATCCCCTTTAACGGCATCCTCTGACCCGGTGGTCTCTTTGCAGTTTTCTGCTACTGTTCGCGGTGACTAAAAGGCGTTTTTCACGTACGTCATCCAATCTGTAGGCACCAGAATAATAAAATCTAACATACTTTGCCGGTAGGCTTCAACATTTTAAGTTGATTTAGGCATTAATAAACTGTTTCAGAGGAGTGATCCTAGTGATCTGTATCATCAGCGCTGTGTCTTTTTCCTGCATCAAAGCAGGAAAACGGTTTTGAATTTGAATTTTGCGATGAGCAGCAAAATTCACTTTCCAACTCCAGCAGCTGCTTCTTCTGAAGAGTGTCATGTGCCTCAGAAGCTCGTTAGGCGCTGCTTCAGCTACTCGCTGCAGGACCTTTTGCTGTGCCTTGATGCACGTCAACCATTGACTTGCATGTAAACTTGCTGCTTCGTGCATGCGGTCTGGACGTAGCCTAAGAATTGTAAATACCATGGAGAACTAATGAAAAAAAATATTACAGTAAACACTGATTTTCATTAGTGTAAGATGTTTAAATATTAACTAATGAATGTCTAAAGGGCTGGTTATACACTCGCAGCAGTGTGTCGCAGTAAGCTTGTCGGAGGTATGATGCAGATATTTTTGATTTATGCCCAATTTTAAAGTGTGGTCTGTGCTTTTTTATTCCATGCCACAAAGCAAGAGGGACAATCACCATCTAGCTGTTTGTTTAGATACGGCAGAGGCGGTGAGGAAGTGGAAAAATGCAAGGGGCAAGTTTGTGAGGCAACATGAGGGCGAAAATGAGCGGAGATCCAGGTGGAAAAGGGTCCTAGAGTTCTCATGCTCCTCTCATGCTCCGCTCTTCTACACCTAAATCTACACCTATCATAAAGTTAGACCCCCAAATAGAATTCTTCAACATTCATTTTCTTGTTATGGTTTATGTTTAAACAATGAAACACTTATCAAATAACATAAGGAAGGAGGACAAGAGTTCTTAGATTCCTTTTACTAATGATGAGAGAAGGCAGAGATGTCCTAAGTTACAATCTACCACTACTCTGAAGCCTCTCTGCTGAGTTCCTTGCTCTTTTTTAGAAAAAAGGGAGTCCCTAGTTACGATAGATCACACCTGAACTCTAAAGGAATGTGTGAGGAGTAAGTTACAGCGTGATACAGGGATAAACATACATTTCTGCATGCAGGCAGTGACCTTGAGTTATACACATGAAAAACATTCCCTTCCTGGCACCTGCAAAGGAGTCCTTTCACAAGAGTCTACTAAAGATAATACAAAGAATAAACAATGTTAATACAGGATAATATAAAATGTAATGAAATAGCTCCAACAGCTTACATGCCTTAGTTTTAGAAGGCCAGTTCTCCTCTAAGAACTGCAGCAGCCCATTTTATGGTCCTCATTGATCTCTCGGAAATTATTTTGTGTCTTATAACAGACAGAGCCATTCACCCACACACATGCAGAAAGTTCCTCTAACAGATACACTGGGGTGAAGCCATACCCCCCCAAACTCTCAGCCTAGAAACTTTCACTCAAAGCTACTATGTTCAGTAAATGGTTTGGGAAAGAGCCAGTCATGTGTAAATCATAGGGCCCTGGTTCTGCGAATCACCTTGTCTGACTTGCAGTGCTGCAGGCGCACGTACTGTGGTTTGCCAGTCGGGTAATCCACAATCCAGGACACAATGAGGGCATCCACCTCCATTGCTTTCTGTTTCTCAGCCAGTAGAGCCGGCATGATGGCGTTGAATACACTGGAGAAGTCAAAGAACGACTGTCACATTGCTCTCTGGCTTGTTCACATGGGTGTGGACACAGTTTAACTGGTAGATGATGGCGTCCTCTACTTCTAGTCGGCGATGATAGGCGAACTGGAGGGGATCCAGAAGTGGTCTGACCATGGGCCGAAGCTGTTCAAGGATGAGTCTCTACAGGGTCTTCATGATGTGTGATATCAATGCCATGGGTCTGTAGTACTTGGTGCCTATGAGGCACGACATCTTGAGTACAGGAACGTGCACGTTTTCCACATAACAGGGACCTTGTGAAGATTCAGACACAGGTTGAAGATGATGTGGAGGACTCCACATAGCTGGGGAGCACAGACTTCATGCACCCAGGGTTCTCACACCATTCAGGGCGCAAAGTTGTCTAATTGGAGTCTGCTCCGGCCAACCAGAGGGCAAGTGACTTTAAAAACATCACCCCTGACAAGATCATGGCTGATGGTCAATGTGGAGGTGACAGGTGGGGGAGGGTGGAGGTGTTATACCCAAGAGTGCATTCAGTCTGGAAGTGTGAAGGGGGCCATCACAGGAAGATAAGGCGCTGTGGGATGGGGGAGGGTGCAGGTGAGCTGAGTACACAGAGTAAAATCTGTTGAAAAACAGATTCATCTCATTGGTTACGTCCACACTGCTTTCCACTCCTCTGCTGCTGGATGGTCTGTAGCCAGTGACGGTCGCCATTCCACTCCACACCTCTCTCATGTTGTTCTGCTTGAGTTTCCACTCCAACTTCCTCCTGTATTTGTCCATGGCTTCTCTAATCTTCACTTTCATTTCCCTCTTGATCGTTTGCAGCTCCTCCTTGTTGCCAGCTCTGTAAGTCCTCTTCTTCTTGTTAAGAAGAATATTTATGTCCTTTGTGTCCTTTGTCACCCACAGCTTGTTATTTGGGTTACAAAAGACAGCCTGTCATGGGGCGATGGTGTCGACGCAGAAGTCAATATAATCAAGCTTTGAGCCTATCAATGTGCTCTCCATGCAGCTCCCAGAGCGTTTGCCAGTCGGTCACCTCGATGCAGCCCTGCAGGGTCTCATTGGCCTCCTCAGACCATCTCCTGATGGTCTTAAGCCCGGCGTACACTGTGCGATTTTTCAGTCGTGCGAGAATCTTTCAATCTGCCCGACTTTCCGTCTGATCGTGCATCGTATAGTGTACAGGGGGATACTAGCGGCGATCAGCCTCCCACGACCACTTCCCGATCAGGAATCGTGATGCCGGGAGAATAT